GAGAGGGGATACCCTGAAGCAAAAACATCTCCAATTTTGACTGCTGTCACGCGTAGTAGCAAGAATGTTAATATGGAGCTCTTATCTACCTTAATTTATTAAGTTGTGTTATCCACCTATGTTTCTACGATTTTTTGAAAATAAATCCTTGTAGGAACCTATTTGTATATGCAATTGCACTCTGCATTAGATAATAAACTATTATTGGGGTACAATAGGGAAGTAATAACTTGATGAAATGTCTCCCCCCAGGGTCAATACTCTTACAGGAACATATTAAGAGGACTTAGTTGCACTATTGTAAAATAGCACTCTTGACAGTACATCTTTTTTAAAATGGTTTGGGATCTACAAATTATTTTTTTTTTTAGAATATTCTATCAGTTCAACTAATCTGTCTTTCATGAAATATTTGCAATGAATTTGGATTTTCCTTAAAAACATAACACATTCATCACTTAAAACCAGTGTGTCAAACAGCCCACAGGCCAGATCCAGCCTATACAGCTGTTCTGTCTAGCCAGCGTCGGTTCTGGAATTTGAGGGTTTGACCTGCTACAGAATTCAGGGCATCTAGGCTCTGTTGTACATGGCTGTTTGTGGCAGGGGGCAAGTGAGTGTTGTGCCAACACAGCCCCGCTTGCCCGGTGGCCACCTGACCTGCTGACAGTGCACCCCATTCCCATCTACCACTGATGGACCCACTGCTGTTGCAGCTAGTAGTCTCACGCATCTGTCCCAGGAGGAGCTCTGAGGCGTGGGGCAAGTTTGGCAGCTCTGAATGAAAGAATTCTCAGCATCCAGTGTTAAATAAAAAAGAACAAATAAAAGGAACATTCCAATCAAAAAAAAAATCCATCTAACAATACCTGTCAAAATAGTTCGCCGTTTACACTGTTCTTCCACACTGCCTTGTCTTTTGCCAGATTGAGTAAAAGGCATCTCAAACATAAAACGCCGAATGTTGTGAGCCCTCTCAAAGTCTGTTTTTCTCTCTTGTAACTCCTTTTCCTCGAAGTATGGAATTACATGTGTAACTTGAATATATGCATATTTAGAGTCCAAATCCTTAGGATTTACCTTTAGAAAAATAGGGAAAAAAATGAAATCACAATTAAATTTGATTTATTTGAAAGTCCATAGGTACTCAAAATTCAATTTTGGACCCTGATTCTGCCAGTTACTCCAAATGAAGAACTACTGGGCTCCTGTGGAGCTACATTTATTTTAATGCAGACATACTCATCTTTTTCATTTAATCATCAGAGGCTGGACATATAACATCAGAAGAGATTACAAAATACACAATTTTCTACAATACTTGCACTATATAGGGCTGCAAAGTAAGAGAGAGATGTGATCACAGAAACATACCCACTGCTTACATTAATTTCAATGAAAGCTATATTAAAAGAAAGTTTAGACAACTGGGTACTCAGAAAATCAGGAACCAATATCAGCTGATACAAGGAGGTTTTTAAGACCCAGGAAGACAGTCTTGGCTGGGATGATCTAGTTGGGGATGGTCCTGCTTTAAGCATGGAGTTGGACTAAATGACCTCCTGATGTCCCCCTTCTAACCCTATCTTTCTATGATTCAATGAAACCAAAAATAATTAAGTATACTATAGGCACAATATCAGTACCTGGAGAGGATATCCTTCCTATTGCCATAATTAACTGAATGCATACAAAGGTGTTCTAAGAAGGGTAAGACTAACTCACTATAACAAGAAAAATTTGGGCTCTGCTTCCAAGTCACAGAAGTGGGAAAACTCAGAACAATCTAGTCTGAGCTGGCAAAGCCATCACTATACCTCTGTTGGCAGTAAATAGGCCAGATGTCCTACACTGAAATAAATTATTCAATTTTGTGTTAACAGATAAATGTATTAGGAATCAGAGCAAACTAATGAATTGCAATGCTTCCCACTATTTGAAAACAAGTGCCTAACAATTCCCTGCTGCCAAGTTTATATGCACTGATGTTTGAAGCTCATACTATTGATTGTCCAAGGGTACATGGAATGAAGTAATTAGAATGTGAGAAGAACTCCATTTTCTTTTAAACAACGTGTTCTACTCTGTAAGAAAATATAATCCTACTTTGCCAGAATCCTGGATCATTCTGACATTTTCCGATCCAAATTTGTCAGAGTAGAGCTTTTGTAGTCTCTGGGATATCTCTGAAAGAGGTGTCAGTTTCGGCTCTTTATAAATATACTCCTTTCCATCTTCATCCTCAAAGAAGCCCTGTGAAAAGAAACAACCAGAATTTTTAAAGAATAATTAGGCATTAGTATAAGGCAATTATATTGAGCAGTTTGTGCTTTTCCAGGCAAACACACTTAATGCCAAGGTTCAAGCAAAATTAGAAAGAAAAAAAAAATGTCAAAATAAAATCCAAGTAGAAAAGATATCCTAAGAAAAAAGAAAAAGGAAAATGTGTATATTTAAAAAAAATGGGTGCACAGGTAATGGAAGAACATAAAATTACAAACTTAGAGGAATGTTGTAATTATATGGTATGCTAATATTAAAGCTTTTGAGGTCAAAACTTATTTCTCACATTTATATTAAATGAATCATTTTCATTCCTGTTTCACTTGCCAGATCATTGATCTTGCGCAAGGGATTATTTTGCACACAACTAGATCTTCAACAGCAACATACAGAAAAACTCCTGAAGAGCTCTTCCATGTAAAATGGATTGTACAAAATAAAATCACTTGTATCATCTCTCATTTAAAATTATTTACATTAAGTTGTGCAGCACTAGGAAAATGGTTAGGACAAGTTAGCCATCTGTTTTGAGATTTTAGTTGAATCCAGTATAGAGGTGTATGGAAGGTGAAACAGGTGACCATTTTAAAGCAAAAAAGCCACTTGAGTTCATGTTTAAGACCAGAAAAAATAAATATTTGTCTTAAGATGAACAGACAAAATAGTGAGAGCAGCACAACATACCATGTATAAACAAAGGCTAGACTGACAAAAATACCCACATCAAATTAAGCTGAAATGCAGTAATTTTTACTGCATTGCTTGCTTTGAAAGCAGTTACTGCAATTACCTCCACTTCTGTTTCACTGTCTGTAAACTGGTATTGCTATGAAGTTATAAAAGATAACAGAAAAAAACAGAAGGTTATACTGTTCAATGCACATAATCCCCATGCCCTAAATAGCTGTCAGCTATCCACCTAACACAGTAAACTGACAACTGGGATACACACACCAAAAAGCCCCAGTGTATTTGCTACTGAGAAATAGACTATGTAGATAGACATTGGAGCATGTAAAGTTTTCAAATGCAAAGTCAGTCAGAAGGTCTGATTTTGTTTAAAGCATGCAGTACTGATGTTTAGGAAATAGGTGATTTGTTTCTGTAAATGGAACTGAGTGTTATTTTTTGAACTGCAATAGCTAGAAAAGCATACAGCTGAAAAGCAAATCTTGCAAACCACACTGCAGCATCAAGACATTGCTCGATAAATGACCAAGAATTAAGCACTGTAAGGAACTTACCGCTGCCTTAAGATAGTAACACAAAAAAGAAGAAAGAAGAAAAAGCAGAAAGTTTACTGAGGAAGGTATAGAAGCATTAGGCCAGGTTTTACATATGTATTGAAATAAAACAATATTTAATATGGTTAATTATTTCTATCGGAATAAATGTATCATGCTTTTTATTTTGTAGTATCAAAGAAAAACTAATGGTAGACTGTGAAACAGGATATTTTGCAAAATAATTAATATTTTCAGTTCTGCTATAATTGAAGGGATATTAGTTACTTACCTGTCCAAAAAATGCTACTCTGAAGTAAGTGCCCAGCAGTCTCTTGCCTGTATGCATTACTTCTGTCACTTTGCTGTATGCCCGATGAAGTGTATCATATAGGTGAGCTAATCTCTAGAAATAAAATGACAATACAGAATTTTTAAATGGCAGCACTCAAACCAACACTTTATTTTCCCCTTAAATGCAAACATAGCACTATGTGAAGGTGTAAATCTCTTACAGACAATAACATCAGTTTCAGAGGCTGGATATTAACAATAATAATAGGAACAACATTCAGAAATTATACATCAATAGAATTATTGGATTAAAAGCCACAGGCAAGCATTAGGTTTTTACTAGGAGAACTGCTTTTCTCCTGGTAGAAACAAGTGTAAAATGTTCACTCTGTTTCTCCTGGGATAAAAATAACCAACACCAGCTCAGCAGAACTTCCTCCCAGTGAGAATCTCTCCTGGTAGAATGAACACTTGTACACTATGCCACAGTTCAACTTCTAGGGAGTCAAGCTACAAGGAAAGGCTCCATGCCTTCCAGAATTAACCTGGGGTTTGTACATAGAAATCTCATAGAAATCTGCCTAGAAACCTTACTCTTCCACTTGGGATCATAACAATAAAAAGATTTGAGGTCAGGAAGGAATTTTTCCCTCAGGTCAGACTGGCAGGGACTGTGGCATTTTCTTCCCCCAACCTTCCTTAGTAGTGTGGGGTGTGGTCTTTCTTTCTAGCCTCTTCCAGGCATGTACTGACCAACCACTTTTTCTGGCAGACCATTACCAGTATCTCTGTCATCTTTGCTTTCTCCCCCTGCTATGGCCTGCTGTAGGGCATTATTGGCATTTCTGCTTTTGTGCCTTGTAGCTGTGGTGTCTGAAGGTTTACAAGGCATCATTTTTAGGATCTTTGGGTGAGTGACTGCCAGATACAGAAGACTGGACATGATGGTCTGGGAGTTATGTTTCAGTCCTATGTTTCTATCTTCCAAATAAATATTTAATATAGTTTCTGAAAAATACCAACCTTGATTGTAACATCACCTCCCAAAATGTGTTATGTATGTACAAGTTTAATTGACTAGGCCAGGAATTAAAAATGCACTAAAACTTTGGATTTGGCCCTGTATTTGCCACTGGCTTTCAAAAAAAAGATTTAAAAAAAAAAAAATACTGAAAACATTTTATTACATTATCTTCTTCCTATCTGTAAGCCACTTAATTTTTCAGGACTTACCTGAAAAGTGCCTATGGAAGTAAGAGGTCAAACTCTGAGTTTTTAAAAATGAAATACATTTACAATTTGAATAATTTTCTACTTCAAGATTGTTGTAATGCTATATACGTAAGTTGGTTTTAGTATATCATACTGTTGGAAAAGCATGGTTCCAAAGGCATAAAACAAGGAACCAATGTCTATCAAATACCTCAAAATCTCTCCGCTTTTCATAAATGGGAATTATAAGCTTATATATGTCAGCAATCAGTTCATAACGTTCAGCCTTCCAGAGTCCATCAGCACACTGCTCTAATAATTCCATCAGTACATCCTAGAAATACAGTAAAAGAAAATGTATTATTTGATGCTGTTGACATGGACACTATACAAAAGATCTTCCCAAGGAAAAAGGTAGATCAGTTCTCAAAACAAAATCATCTAACAGCACTGTATTTAAAATAAAATATTAACAAAAAGTACTAGAACAAACATGTATGGTGTTCTACATGGCCACACATATGTACATACTCACTGACTCTTTACT